TATTATTATTATTATACACAGTGAGGAAATGCACCCAAGAACCCTGACAAAGATCAATTTCAAAAGCAGATATGTCTTATTCTACCAACAATATTTACAGAAAAGATCACCCTAGGACTGGTCTGGCAGAATAGTCCCACTCAGTTGTTATGGTGTATTAACTGACAATCAACATAAACATGTGTGACAAGCGCCCCCTGTAGGATATCCATTTGGTAGGCGTCAGCAGATTCTACTGCATCCTGGGAATGATGGAGAAGGAAAACCCCATATCAGTCAACAAGGAGAAAACTTTCAGTGTTTCCAAAGCCCAGGAAGAAAAACATCTGTGACAAGCACCCAGTGTAGGATATCCATCCGCTGTGAGTCGGTCAGTTTCAGAATAGTCCCACTCACCTGTTAGCTGACAATGAACATAATTTGACAAAATTAGAAAAACCTCATCAAGACCCCTCATTTTCCAGCTTTAATCCCAAAACGTTTCCTCAGAGACTGCTGAATCTTGCTGTTCCTCAGGCTGTAGATGAAGGGATTGAGCATGGGGGTCACCACTGTGTAGGCCACGGATATCACCCTGCCCTTGTCACCAGAGTAGGTGGAGGAGGGGCGGACATACACAGCTATCACACTTCCAAAGAACAAAAACACTGTGGTGAGGTGAGCACTGCAAGTAGAAAAGGCCTTATGTTTCCCAGCAGCCGATGGGATCTGGAGCACCTTGGAAACAATGAGGATATAGGACAAAAGGGTGACTGTGAAAGGCCCTAACATGGTCACGGTTCCCTCAGTGAGGGTTGTCATCTGAATCACTGAGGTATCTGAACAGGACAGCTTAATTAAGGGATGAAGGTCGCAGAAAAAATGGGGGATCTCCTGGGAGGCACAGAAAGAAAGGCAAGACATCATCAGAGTGTAGAGCAGGGAGTGGAGGAAGCCCAGGAGCCAACAACCCTCTGCCAACAGGAGACAAAATTTTGGATTCATCATCACAGCGTAACGAAGTGGACAACAGATGGCCACATATCTGTCATATGCCATGCAGGCCAGGAGGAAACTTTCAGTGTTTCCAAAGCCCAGGAAGAAAAACATCTGTGACAAGCACCCAGTGTAGGAGATCCATCTGCTATGAGTCAGTCGATTCTGTAGCATCTTGGGGACAGTGGAGGAGGAAAACCCCATATCAGCCAATGAGAGGTGGCTGAGGAAAAAATACATGGGGGATGCATAGAGGCGGACATCATGCCGGATGAGCAGGAGAATCAGCAGGTTGCCCAGTAGAGTAAGCAGGTACATGAAGAAAAAGAGTTGGAGGAGGAGATGCTCATGTTCTGGCCAGCTGGTGATGAAACCCTGTAAGATGAATCCACTGGAATAGCTTGTGTTGCATCATGAGCCATAACTGGGGGAATAGAGGAAATGGAAATAGATTTATATTAAAATTGCACACAGGAGAATAAGGAGTATTCAGAGGGAGTGCCCTACAGAAGGAGTGGGAAAGCAAGTATACCCTCTTTCTCTCTGTACCTCCAAACTCTACATGAAGATACAGTATGTCCACAGTGAAGGGGTGCATATTCTCCTGGTGCTGTTAAATGAGTACTTCCCCCCACTTTGCAAATTGTGTAAATGTATCAGGAAAAAGAAGGGCACGTGGTTGGTGCTTTCCTCTCCCAAAACATTTATGGATAAGGAAGCATTGGGAGACATCGTTCCCCGTGGTGATAGTGGGATCTGGTCTTATTTCATCCTTATCACCATCATTAGCTTTTAGGTTCTCCTTATTTAATGCAGTGGTTCTTAACCTTGGGTTAACTCAGGTGTTTTTCGACTGCAACTCCCAGAAGCCTTCACCACCAGCTGTGCTGGCTGGGGTTTCTGGGACTTGCAGTTCAAAAACACCTGAGTAACCCAAGGTTAAACTGATTTAATGTTTGTTTGTTAACAGGTTGTCTGGAATTGGGAGGAAGAGATGGGTTAAAGATTTTGTTAACCGTCCGAAGTACTGCTTGTCATAAAGTCAAGCCGTATACAAATATATGAAACAAACAAACAAACAAACAAAGGATTAAAAAACAGGCAGGCATTATAAAGAGGGCATGAATTTGTATCCTTCTAATGTTGGGTCACCATGATGAATTTTGAGGGGAGGAAAAATCTTTAAAAATAACAAAAAGGGCATTTTTATTGAAAGGAACACATATCTAGGATTTGGGAGGCAGTGAAAAAGAGATTGTCAGTAAGCCCTCCTAGTCCCATTTGACCCCCCCCAAAAAAAACAAGGAATGGGAAGAGACAGAGAAAACAAACTGATCTTGAAAATGTACACATCCATCACATAGCCATGGCACTTTGGGTTTGGGGAGAGGTTTCTGGAGCATAGCTGGCTGGATAGCTCAGTGGCAGGCTACAGATCGAGAGGCTAGGAGTTGAGTTCCCCATTGTGCATTCCAAAAGAGCCAGCTTGTGTGGCCTTGGGCAACCTGCATGCTCACCCAGGGTGCTCCCCAGGAGAAACCACTTCTGAGTGCTCTCTATCTAGAAAGCCATGGAAAGGCTTGCCATAAGTCGGAATTGACTTGACAGACCATAATTATCATTATTTTCTGGAACAAAAGCTATTGTTTCGAGACAGGTCCTATCATTCTAAATACGTATTTATCAAATATCAAGCTCATCGATAGCACAAAAAATATCACATTCAATAGGCAGAAGCAATGGAAAAAATAGATTAACAACTTCTCTGGGTGTAGCACATGCAGTACTTTGTTCACAGTTGGTGCTCACTATTCTCAAAACTGTGTTGAGAAAAACTGATAAAATGAAGCAGAAGGAACCTGTTGTCGATTTGGGTGAATGGGTCAACTCAAAAGCTCAAACAAAAGAAGACATAGCCAGTATTGCTGGAAGCATCAACGTCCACACAGAAATGTGCTAAAATATTTTGCTTCATGGTCTTCATACTTTGGGGAGGTTCTTGGTAGGTAGCAAATGTATGTTTTTCTCTGCTTTTTACCCCCTGATCTTTTCTGTCTCCCTTGGCACTTATAACCAAACTAGGCTACAGAGGAAAGCATCATCTGCTGCATATCACCCATCCACAAAACTAGAGAATTAGACTGGTTTAGTACACTGTGTTTTTAAATAGGTTTCTAGAGTATGTCAACATGTTTCTACCAGATTTAGAAACTACTGTATTTTGTGTACTAAGCTTGGAAGATAACTAGAACAACAACAATCTACTTTTTCTTCTCTTCCTTTTCTTTTTGCTCTTTCCCCTGCTTTTAAGAGGTGCATATCAAGAAACTGTTTTGTTACTTGCTCCCATGTAAGACCACCAGTTGTCCTTTCTGAACTCTGGAGCTGTGACATCCAAAAGGACGTTTCAGCATAATACAAAACCATTACTTGACTTAATGCCAAGGCAGGAAATATGTTCCCCGGTTGAGGAAAAAAAAGACCAGGAAGATGACCAGTCTTAAAGACTAAGGGATCTGCTATGTAACCGTATAGTGTCTGGACTCTTGTCCATTTTATCAGGTGCATAAAGTGTTGGCTTAGAGTTCAGGTATATACACTGATGCATGTAGATGGTTAGTTACCTAAATTTCAGGTGACAGCAAAGGAGTACAGGAGGGTTCTGGTCCTCCCACCTACATATGTCATTCTTTAGTCAGGGTGAAGCAGTTGCCTAAGGAGCTGTTGTGCTGAGGATGGCAGTGGAGCCACCGGTGCGACCCACTCTCCACTGCCCGAATACCTCACTCCCAAACTCCTCCTGTAGCTGCCACTGCCTCCACACCTCCACAGCTGTTCCTTGGCTGATTTGGTGAACAACACCTTCAAGATCAAGGCTTTGTGTGAAGAGGTGCCCCCCCAAAAAAATCAGAGCTAGACTTTGTTCATATAGCCAGCTCTGAAGTAGGTGGCGGGGGACATTGGGAGGAAACTGAAATGCTGTCTTTCTCTGCCTCCTCTTTCTCCTCCCATTTGTCAGCGTGGCAATATTCTTCTTTGTGCCATAGACAGCAAGAAGGGCTGCTCCAACATTGCCTTTTGAGGTACAAACTAAGACCAGTGCCTTTTTTAGAAGCAAATTGGACAGATGTGTGGGCAACAAGTATGGCCATTCACATTGTCTTTTAACCTGTCCCTCAGAATCGTATGTAAGCTGCTCTTAGCTGTCTGACAGAAAAGCAGGATATAATAATATCCTTTTCATTCACTGGTAAAAGGAGGAGAAAATATTGTGACACCTGAAAAATTAACATATTTGCTTCCGTGGGAGAGAAAAATCCACTCCCTCAGACATATCATGTTTCAAAACCGATGAAAGATCACACAGATACAAATAAAGACAAATAAGGTCTCCCCCCGCTTTTTTTGTTTGTAGTTTTGTTTTGACCAGCATACTGAAACAGGCTAATGTGGCTCCTTCTTTGGAAACTTGAAGCTAAAAATTATATTCTGCCCTGAGATTCTTGGCTATAGAATATAGGGCAGAAAACTCAACATTTTTATAAATAAAGAGGGGGAGGAGGAAAATAAAAGGAATAAACCTTAATGAAGCCACAAAGAAGCATCTTAATAGGAAAAAAATCATGCAAATAATAGGACTCACCTGGTGTACACGAACCAGAAATTTCATGTCTTGAGGTAACCACTGTTAGTTGTTTAGGGAAGCTGGGCAAAGCCAGATTTCTAGCAGTAGCTACAGAAAGAACACATCACTAACCATAAATGGGAATGCCATAATTTCAGACTGAAAACAAGACTGTTTTTTAAACTAACATTTTAATTGCTTTATTTAATCAAATAGGGAACAGCATCTACAGGACTATGGGCTGATTGAAAGAAGAAAGATGTATACTCTTTGGTGATCAACATCACTCATCACTTTATATCAAAATTGTCAAGCCTGTTTTTTTTTCCTAGTGCCAAATTAAAACATTCCGGTTTGTTTAGACCTTTTGTGAAGATTCACAACTTCTTCAGGTTTTAAAATTGTGTATGTAATTCAGTTTCAGTTGGTTTAAAATCAATTATTTTATAATTTCCTCTTGTTATATTTGTTTACATCTTTGCCATATTTACTACTTTTATAAATAGACTGTTTTCAGAATTTCATGTACTGCTCTGGATTGCTCTTGGTGATAAACGACTATTATAGGTATTTTTTTAAAAAAAAATATTAATATAGTACATGAAATAAGTCATTTCCCTTACTCTAGTGGATCAAAATGCTGCAATATCCCTACATTTTCTATTTTGCCCCAGCAAGCCTTGGTGGAGAAGAAGGAACATAGATAGGTAGCTGCCTCCAGTGAAGGCAATATTGGCTTCATAACCCTGCAGCTATTTCAGTAGGTCCTAAAGGTTATCTCTAGAGAGGACAGTAGATGGAGCTGAATGCACGAGAGGCTTGTTAATGCCGTGGTCTATACTTTCCTGATAGCTCCGTAGTTAGGCTCAGAGGTTGGGAGTTTGATTCCCTACTGTGCCTCCCAAGAGGAGTCAGCCTTTGTGACCTTGGTCAAGCTGCACAGCCCCAGGGTGATCCCCAGAAGAAGGGAATGGCAAAACCACTTCTCAGAACTTCTCAGAACCTAGAAAACTCTAGAAGGGGTTACCATGAAGCAGAATCAACTTGAAAGCATATAACTGTTATTAAATTAACTTCAGAAAATGACAGGATTTTGGAAAGAGGAAATGGAAGGAATGATTCTTGAATAATGCTGTTCATTAGTCAGGTGAACAAGCAGGTCAGAAGATTTGTAACCACCAGCCAGGGTTGGTCTTAGGAGGAGACTAGCTGGGCAGTCACTAAGGGTACCAAGCAGAAGGGGACACGAAACAGAGCCGGAGCTAAAAGGATTGCCCACTTCATCTCTCTCTCTCTCTCTCTCTCTCTCTCTCTCTCTCTCTGTGTGTGTGTGTGTGTGTGTGTGTGTCTGTGTGTTTCTTCCCTTTTTATTTGGTCAATTCTTCTTCTTTTCTTCTTCTTCTTCTTCTTCTTCTTCTTCTTCTTCTTCTTTACTCCTTTCATCAAACTTGGCTGTAAAATATATGTATTAAAGTCTACATATTAGTCAGGTTTGCATTCAGGCTAGCCATGTTTTCCCAAGACTCGACAATAAAATATTAACAGGTTCTACCTAGCTTTCTAGGTAAGCCGCCCTGTACCCACTTGGTGACCCAGATTCTTAACTGTCATTAAAAATCAAAGGAAGGAAGGAAATAAGTCTCCACTCCAGCCTTTTTAGAGGAGGAGACCTGAGGCAAAATATGCTGACACAGTTTCACCCACTTGTTTTGTGAGAAAAGAGCCTTTTACAGCCTCAAAGTGTTGTTTAATCAATAAGTGAAGCCTCATATCTATCTAT